GGTAGACCGCACGCTATAGTGTAAATGTCCCGCAGACCGCACGCTATAGTGTAAATGTCATTAGACCGCACGCTAGTGTAAATGTCGTAGACCGCACGCTATAGTGTAAATGTCGGTAGACCGCACGCTATAGTGTAAATGTCCCACCGCATGCTATAGTGTAAATGTCGGTAGACAGCACGCTATAGTGTAAATGTCCCGGTAGACAGCGCTATAGTGTAAATGTCAGCCGCACGCTATGGTGTAAATGTCCTGTAGACAGCACGCTATAGTGTAATGTCTAGACCGCACGCTGTGTAAATGTCATAGACAGCACGCTATAGTGTAAATGTCCCGCACGCTATAGTGTAAATGTCAGCACACGCTATAGTGTAAATGTCCCGTAGACCGCACGCTATAGTAAGTAGACCGCACGCGCTATAGTGTAAATGTCGGTAGACCGCACGCTATAGTGTAAATGTCCCGGTAGACCGCACGCTATAGTGTAAATGTCCGGTAGACCGCACGCTATAGTGTAAATGTCATAGACCACGCTATAGTGTAGCCGCACGCTATAGTGTAAATGTCCCGGTGTCCGACCGCACGCTATAGTGTAAATGTCCCGGTGACCGCACGCTATAGTGTAAATGTCCCGGTAGACCGCACGCTATAGTGTAAATAGTGTCCCATATACAGCACCTATAGTGTAAATGAGACCGCGCTATAGTGTAAATGCACGCTATAGTGTAAATGTCGGTAGACCGCACGCTATAGTGTAAATGTCGGTAGACCGCACGCTATAGTGTAAATGTCGTGTAAATGAGACCGCACGCTATAGTGTAAATGTCCGGTAGACCGCACGCTATAGTGTAAATGTCCCGTAGACCACGCTATAGTGTAAATGTCCCGATAGACCGCACACTATATAGTGTAAAATGTCATAGACCGCACGCTATAGTGTAAATGTCGTAGACCGCACGCTATAGTGTAAATGTCCCGGACCCGCTATAGTGTAAATGTCAGTAGACAGCACGCTATCATCGTGTAAATGTCCCGGTAGACCGCGCTATAATGGCGCAAATAGTTTTTTTCTGCTCACTGATTCAACTAGCGGAAATTGAAGGAGAAAGGGTGCGCTGGACATGTTCTGTTCACGGTGGGGGTAGTACATCCTCCGTTATGGATGTTACGATTGTGTATGTGATTATTCAGGGACACTTCCAGGAGCTTGACATTATACATGAATCATGAATCCTTCGTAATGGTTGTATGTGTGTTCTTTTTGTGTGTGGGGGGACGGGGGTAATAATATTATTATTATTAAACTGTGGGAGCTGGTCTGTAGACATTCTTGTGACCTGATGTCGGCGCCAACAAAGTCCTTCCCACTGTCTTGATGGCCGTTGTACCTGGCTGCTAACCCGCTACCTCACTACAGCTGCAGATCCTCCAGCTCACACAGGGTGTTGGAGATGGTTCTTGTTCCTAATGATGTAATTAGGAATCATAGTTTCTCACCCGGGTGGAAAAGGGAGTCCTCATTTCTCTCCTGGTGTAGTTTGGAGTGTTTCTTGGCTTCTCATCCAGTGTTGGGGGTGGCGAGTGTACCGCGGGCTGGGTGCATCAGGTCGAGGTGTCAGGCCGCTAAGTTCAGATTGTCGCGCTAACAGTTGTTTCTTCCTTTCGAGTTGAAATTGTCACTTTTGTGTATTGGTTGTGGGTTGATCTTCAATCTTTGCACTGTACTGTTGAGGGAGGATGTTGATAAATCCAGATGGGGAAAGGGAGGGCCCGACAAACCAGGCTGGCAGCTGTCTCATAACATAAAAATTGAGGAAACTGCAGCGGGCCTATTGGCCCATACTGGGCAGTCCCATTTACACCCAACCCCTATCGCTCATATATCCATCCAACCTATGTTTGAAGCTATCCAGCGTATTCGAGTTAATGATGATATTTGGAAACTTGTTCCACTCGTCCACTACTCTTTTTCCAAACCAATGTTTACCTATTTCCCTCATAAATCTAAATTTGTCTAATTTAAAACCATTGTTACGAGTTCGCTCCTGATTGGATAGTTTTAGTACCTTTGTAATATCCCCTTTGTTCAGCCCTAACTTCCATTTATACACCTCTTATCATATCGCCCCTCACCTCTACCTCTCTCGAGGGAGTGCAAATTAAGATGCTTTAACCTGTCTCTGTACTCAACGTTGCTAATGCCCGGGATTAGTCTTGTCATTCTCCATGGTCAAGAGACCGTGCGCCGACTACACACGTCCTTACCCCATGAAGGCTGAAGGAAGTGTGTGTGGGTGTGTTGCCCCGCGAGACGAACCTCAAATCAGTTCGAAGTTAGGTTAAGTTAAGGTTCAAGTGAGTTAAGTTGTGTATTTGGTTAAGTTGATAAATTTATTTTTATTTTTATGTATGGTTTAAGTTTGGATTGGACCAAAGTTTTGACCAAGTTAAGATTCGGGAAAGTTAGTTGGAAGGATTGTCTAAGTTAGGTTTAGACTCGACTTATTGAGGTCAAGTTAGGTTATTTGGGTCAGTCAAGTTGTTCAGGAGTTAAGTTAAATTAGGCTCGGTTAGGTTACTGAGGTCATGTCCCCTACCACACCTCCGCCCACCCACCCACCCGTGTCATTTCCCATACTTTCCACCCCCTTCCCACACACCACCCACCTCCCCAGATCACCGGCTCCCACGCTCCCCCCCCACACACACCGCCCACCTCCCCGCAGATGATCTCGTATTAAACATAAGCTACACACCAAACACTAGTGACGTCACGCCTACAGTGTGTTAAACAAGAGTGACGTCACGCCTACAGTCTGCGTTAAACAAGTTAATAAATCCTAAGCTGGTTAATATCCTTCCCATCAGGCTAAATTTGTTATCCTGTGTAAGTACTCTGTGGGTGAAATCCTGGTAATGACGAAGTTCTTATAGATGGAATATGCATCATACCACACGAAGTCTGATTTAAGCAGGATTTTAGCCAAGTTCCCTCAAGTCTCGAGTCAAATATGGCTATAATGTGTTATTATTATCGTTTTGGTCATCCAGCGAGGTAAGGTCAGGTTAGGTTAGGTAAAAAAAAATATGTTTTTTCGATGGTATTTGGTTAAGTTAGGTTAAAAAAAATCGATGGTATTTGGTTAAGTTAGGCTAAAATTATGTTTTTTCGATGGTATTTGGTTAAGTTAAAATTATGTTTTTCCTTTTGAATGGTTCTGACCTTCATTTCAAATAGGTGGATGACCGGAACGATAATTTTATCCTTAATATTATACACCAACAACAAGCAATCGGTTTTTATATATCTCTCTATATATTATGAGACGTCTGCTGTTACTGGCAGGAGTAAGGCTGCAATACACACTTTGGCTAATCATCACCAAGCCCGGATAGCTCAGTCGGTAGAGCATTAGGCTTTTAACCTAAGGGTCCAGGGTTCGAGTCCCTGTTCGGGCGTAAGTTTTCAAGATTCTTATGATTATCAAGTTCATTTCAACCTGACCAGAGAGATGATGTTGGTTAGGTTAGGTTAAGTAAAGTCCAGAACAGTATGAATGAGAAGCGAATTTGAATCTTCTTTTTAAACCCAATAATGTATAGAATAATTATATAATGTGTAGGAACCTTAAGATGCTTTAACACAATGTTATGGCGAAATGATGACCTCTCGCATGACCTTGACGCTTAACCTCGGTACCCTAACGAGTGTAGGGTGTTATAATAGCAAGGTGGATAATGACCTGAGGTGGTTAATCTTGAGGTATTCCGTCTATACACGTGGATGACTGTGATCCGTCTGTCGTGGTGGTGTGTCCCTTATCACCCGCTTATGACCCATTTATCGAATCGCCTGAAAGAATAAACATCCAAACACTGCCTTAACCTAATCCCTCTCTTGTATAGGATTAAGGTGTTTTAATCCAGTGAAATAGACAGTGGTGTGTAATTTCCGGGTGATATTATTTGTCGTTAAGAAATAATGGGTCACAACTAGTTCATCTGATGGCATTTCAGGATTGTTTAACTTATTATATGCATTTCAAGGTGACTTACTAAATACAACTTAACCCAACCTTCTCTCTATTGCCTAACTTAATTTAACCTGTTTCTGTTTGTGTGTGCGTGTATGTATTGCAGTATCTATGTATTTTTGTGTATGTTATTTACATGTGATTAGGTATTTAGATTTAACGTATATGTATATTGTATCTTTGTATGTGAAGTGGTGTGAGTCACGTGGGATCATACAGTACATAACGTGTTGTAAGACCCTCGTGTTCAGGAAGTTGTGTGCGAACGTGTACTTTGGGGCGGTGATGATAGATTGCTCATGTTAGTCACACACACACACACACACACACACACACACGTACTCAAACCACACGCCAACTAAACATACAGTGTACTTTTTACCCACAAACTCCAGGAACGAGTTGCGTTATCATACTCAATAGCCTTGACTGGTTGCTGCGTTATCAAACGTTAGATTCGTGGACAAGAAAATTGTGAAGAAATATTCTCCTCAATTTTATATTAAATTATTGTTTGTATAGTTAATAATTAATATATGGGCGCAATTAGTTTTATACCTAATAATTAATGAGTACATTTCTTAGTAGTGAGTTATTAGTTTGTTAGCTGAAGTTTATAGTGTAAATTTCATTAGGAATTGATTTTGCAACGGAACTTCAACTAGCACTTGACTGACAATTAGTACTAGCACTTGGTCTTTTAACTTATAATAGCACTTGATCTTGGTCTGACAAACTTGTACTAGCACTTGACCTGACAACTACTATGACAACACACTACGCATATACTGTATACATCGTTTGTATAACTGTACTGACTATGAGGCTGACGATATATAAATAATAACGATTTTGCTGAATTTATCTATCTATCCATCTATGACGTTTTTATGAATACAGTACCTATCAACTTATCTCTTAATATCTTATGTATATATTTTATGTCTGTGTTATCTTTGTTTATAGCAGGATGGCTTTCTGACGCTGAGGTGATACAGTGTTCATAGTCTTCGTCCTACACGTCTGCCTACTCGTGGTCCACTAAGAAAGGGTAAGTAGAGAAGCACAGTTTATGCATTTCACACACTAATTATTCGTTGTTTGAGACTGGCTTTAATTATTCGTTGTTTGAGACTGGCTTTAATTATTCGTTGTTTGAGACTGGCTTTAATTATTCGTTGTTTGAGACTGGCTTTTATGTGGAAAGTGAAAATTATAAGAACACGTAATATTGATCTTATAAAAATTGTTAGGACCTTTAAATTTAAGATCCATTATTAATATGACCACAAATTTTTAGTTTGAACATTTTCATTTTACCCAAGTCTTGCTAACGATATGTCACAAATAGTAAAACAACCGGAAAGTTAAAAACAGAAAATTATAGTTTGAAAATATGATACAGTACAACAATGAAGGACTATATTTTGTTAATAAGAGTAAGAAGCAGTACATATGAACAAAAACGTTTAGAGAGTACTCTACATTGTTCCAGTCCCCAAGTTTGCAGTGTACGGTATACATAATAAACGACATAACTTTTAACACCGTGTAAGGAATACATTTCATGTTGGGGAATTGTGATTTGTGGGGCGTAGGGTAGGAGTAACTAAGAGTTGCCCTGCTGGATGCCACGTGGCCTCCTTACAGTAAGTTAAGCCTTTCCCAGTTATGACACAGGCTTACGTCATATCCCGGGAGTCTTTTTTTTTCTAGGTTCAACGCCGACACAAGATGTACAAGTATGAAATACAAACTCGTCAGAGGCGGCTGTTCACGTATCACGAGAAAACATAGCTTTTATTCAGACCAGTGTCACGTGAAGCGTTACTCATCTGTGAATCGAAACAACGTTTTTAGCATGTTACAGTCAAGCTGGAGAACTCTGGCAATATTGTAGAACTTGGCAAGGCTTCAGGGATCTTGTCCACTTTAAATCCTAATAAAAAACACAAGATCCTCGGTATTAAATATAAGCTATAGTGCTTTAGTAATTATGTTTTTTATATTATCCTCCAATAAACTTACAAATAATTCATAAAAGAACAAATAAAGCGCTGTAGAACCTCCTGCCGCAGTGATCGTACAGCAGGGAGTGGCGTACAGTACTGTGGTGTCAGTGATTGTAACGACGCGCCTAATCTTTTTTACATAAGTCATGCATGTTGTATATCATAGCTTGGTTATCAGTAGTGTATGTAAAATAGTATATTTATCTGAATAAATCGCATCTCATTTCCAGACAAGATTCTCCTAATGCAAAGAAAACGTAAAATGAAGGGACGGTTACTGGCGATTCGTATACAGGGAATTAGTGTTAGATATTTTTGCCTACAAAATTTTTGCTTCACTTATTGTCTGAGGAATTAATGTCTTAAAAAACACTTTTATATATATATATATATATATATATATATATATATATATATATATATATATATATATATGCAAGTAAATCACTGTAGGTGCGCGTGATCTAGGTATATGCTGATAACCAAGGGAAAACAGGGGAGTAGTGTAATGGTTATCATATATATATATATATATATATATATATATATATATATATATATATATATATATATATATATATATATATATATATATATATATATATATATATATAGTATATTCCTTTCTTTATTCCTATGTCATGTTTAAGTTTTCTGGTCATCCACCTTGGCTCATTCTTATTTGACCCAATTTTTCTGTATGGTATATTAAATATTTAAAAAAATATATATATATTATAGGTTCTGGGTACAGTATATTGGATGGGCGAACGTCACGCGCGGATTTAACGCTCGCAGGGTAGGAAGTGATAAAAAATATGTAGATACCCTGTACTACAGTATACGACCCTTACCTGTGACTGCTTGTCTAAAACACCAATTAAGTCATTATCATTATGTTAACCTTTACGTCGCCTGCGTGCATTCCTTCCCCTCCTGGTACACTGATTCTTATAGATTTTTTCGTAAAAGTTCACTGCTTAAATAGTGTTGAGAAGGCAGCTTAGCTTATGTAAATACTAGTATGGTACAAATAAGGCAGCCAAAATATTGTCAAAATTGAACTTATCCTTTCGTAACTAGACAGTATATAAGTGTGCGTGTGTGTCAGACATTACCTTAGATGGTAGATTCTCCATAAATACGTCTCATAGGTTCTGCATAAATGTTTTAGTCTTATAAACAGCCACTTATAACATCTAGATATGAGTAACGATACAGTATAAAGATTTTAGTTTTTGTATAATTTTTTTTAATTATACAATAGTTTTCCAGAATTAGTTGATAAACGTTACCATTAGTTGAATCGTTAACGTTACCATTAGTTGCTAAATGCGGCACATTGTGTACATATTGCTGTGCGAGTATTCGAAACTACTAGACAGTGGACCTGAACTGAACGTGTGAGGGGAACAGTGTTGTCAAGTTTAGACCTTCCGTAGTTGTAATACGGAGTATATATTCTTAAAGCATTATGTAAAGAGTTACTGTCGAATATACGATATTGAATATGACAAATCGTGTATATTACGTATGGTTGTGAAATAACTTTACAATAATTACCAAGTTATTGACGTGCCAGCAAAGACTGTGATGGTATTGGCAACACAACAGCCAACGTCCACAACGTGAGCCCAGTCACTCAGTCTACAGCTAGCACCTGGTGGAGTAGGAGGTGGTGAGCGTATTTTCAAGATATTTCGTCCAGGTGGGCGTTCTGAAGCACGTAATTAAGGTAATATTTCATGAAAATCGTTAAGAAACATGGTAGCACAAAGTCTGTTGTGTATAATAAGTTGAATATTGTTTAGTGGGCCCAAAGATAAAGTGAAGTGAAAGTGTAGGATGTGGCATCACGTTGTTGCCTGTGACTACTTGCAACATTTAATACAAATATTATCGTTTGCTTGCGATATTCCATTTAATAATTACTTATCCAATATTATTTTAATTTATGTTTAGTGTACGTACGTAGAATCTTAAGTTAACGATTAAATGACATGATAGTGTTCTCATAGAAGGCTGATCCCTTGGTGACGTCTTTTGAAGCACGATACCGATTAATGATTAATTTTATAAAACGTGTTAACAAGGCAAACCAGTTAAAAGGTGTTCATGCAAGTCGAGAGGGTTGTGTCTCTTGACTAATGTTGCATTTCGTGGAATTTGTACTTGAAATAGGGAAGATTCAGGCGTAATTTATTGTGTACCGGATATAAATATTTCTTGCCTTATCATTGATGCTGAATAGTTTGTGAAAGGATAAAATTGTGATAAAAGTTATGTTTGTTGGTTTTTAGCAATTAACGTGTATGGTGTAGAGTACTTTACTATTACAGTGACTTGGGTTAATACAGGTGGCCTGGCTGGAACCCCAAAGTCAGAAAATAAAACATTCTGGAAAAATTTAGGAAAGTATTTGTTTAATGGCTGTGGATCCTTTTTTATGAGAATAGGGTATTTTGTGAGTGTATTTAGTTGTGTTTTACCCTAATCTAACATTTTTGGGGGGCAAATGAACGAAGTTTGTAAAAAAAAAAATACAAAATTCGCTCATTTACGCAAGAAATGAAGGTCAGATTTGAATAAAACACATCTAAATACATAAAAAATATTCTCAATAATATTTAAATTTCCGAATCACTGACCTAACTTAACTAAACACACCTAACCAAACATAACCTAACCAAACATAACCTAACCTCAAATCTGAACCTTTATTTTTATTGTTTTAATAATCCTAGAATAACCAAATACCAAAATTTTGCTGCAGCCATTACCTAAACGGATATTAACTGTTTAGGTCACCCGGGGAATTGGTTCAGTAAATTTTGATATCTAAATACAGGGATGACAAACTAAAATTTTCCCAAATATTACACTAGTATAGAAGAATCAATGTCAAGATATTTTGGGGTTTACTCCTGTGAAGAAGCAGGTAGGCTGTGATTTCTACACCACTAGTGCTTTTCCAAATCTATCCATGAGGGAGCATTGTATGTATGAAGATCAGGGCCCACATCCAGTTCCATAGAAGTAAATTGAAAGCAGTGGGAATAGCATACGTATATCACATGTTGATATGGACACTACAGAGTGAGGAATACCGTTTTGTTTTTGATCTATGTGTAGTTTTGGGTTACAGACAGTGAAAGGTAGAAATACAGAAATCCATATACAAGGGCAATTCAGTAAGTAACAAGACAAATGACTGTAACTGGAGAAGTAATGATTTATTATTAATGATCATACCTATTTTAGCACACAATCTCCCTCTACAGCTATGCATTTGTCCATCTTTTTACAAGTTTTCTTATTCCTGTGGTGTAAGATTCTATCTGCCGACTCTGGATTCAATTTCGGATTTCTTTCTTCACCTGTTCATTATTAAAAAAATGCATTCCATGTAAAACTGTTTTGAGCGGACTAAATATGTGGTAGTCTGATGGTGCGAGATGTGAACTCTGCAGGGTGTGGCAAAGTCACCCCCAAATTTCCACTTGATGTTCTGGTGCACTATGGGTGTTGAAACTTCAACTGGTTGTCCAGCATGATCTTTGTTCGCAATGCTTGTTCGACCAACCTTGAATTGTTCAACCCACTTGTACATGTTCGCTCGACTGATGCAATTGCTTCCATATTGAAGTGACATTCTGCTATGAATTTCACTTGGTTTTATCCCTTCCAAATTAAAAAAATAAATAAAAAAAATCATTTTTCTTCCAAAGTACAAAATTCAATTGGAGCGCTCATTGTTACTGCAAAATTTACTTGAGACTAATCGAATGAACTGCCCAAACAAAACAATTGAACGACCCTTGTATATTAACCCATTTATATTGTCACTGGAAATTATAACTAGGTAAACTATCTGAGAATCTCTAGTACTCTTTAATGAAAAATAACTTTAAAGGCACATATACCCAACCTAATCTTCCCTTCATTTTTTTCTAAAAAGGATAACTAGCAGAATAAGAAATGAAATTCCGTAGAAAATTACTCGGTAAAAATATAATAAAAACAAAAATTGTATCAGTAAAGTTTAGAATTAGTTGATATTGATAGTGTTAGTTACATGACTCGCGAGGTCATCTTAAGATTGTATCTTGCGCTTGTGAGACCTCACCTGGATTACGCAGTTCAGTTCTGGTCACCGTATTACAAAATGAATATAGAATCCTTGGAACATAAGAATGGAGGAAACTGCAGCGGGCCTATTGGCCCATACTGAGCAGTCCCGTATACACCCAACCCCTATTGCTCATATAAGCATCCAACCTATGTTTAAAGCTATTCAGCGTATTCGAGTTAATGATGATATTTGGTAACTTGTTCCATTCATCCACTACTCTGTTTCCAAACCAGTGTTTACCTATTTCACGCCTAAATCTAAATTTGTCTAATTTAAAACCATTGTTACGAGTTCGCTCCTGGTTGGATAGTTTGAGTTCCTTTGTAATGTCCCCTTTGTTTAGCCCTGACATCCATTTATACACCTCTATCAGGTCGCCCCTCGCTCTACGTCTCTCGAGGGAGTGCAAATTAAGATGCTTTAACCTGTCTATACTCAAGGTTCCTAATGCCCGGGATTAGTCTTGTCATTCTCCTCTGAATTCTTTCCAATGATTCTATATCCATCCTGTAATACGGTGACCAGAACTGAACTGCGTAATCCAGGTGTGGTCTCACAAGCGCAAGATACTGTTTTAGGATGACCTTGCTAGTCTTGTAACTAACACTCCTTTGTATGAACCCAAGTACTTTATTAGCCTTGTTACGAGCAAAAACACATTGTTTACTTGGCTTAAGGTTCCTACTTATCATTACTCCTAAATCTCTATCGCAGTCAGATTTCTCTATGGCATCGTTGTTCATCTGGTATCTGGTTTCCCTGTTTACATCTCCTATACCGAGTACTTTACATTTGTCCACGTTGAATTTCATCTGCCATTTTTCAGACCATTCGAAAAATTTGTTTAGATCTTCCTGTAGTTTTGCGGAGTCCTCATCAGATTTAATAGCACGTCCTATTTTAGTGTCATCAGCAAATTTACTTATGTTGCTGTCTATGCCAATATCTATGTCGTTTATGTATATAATAAATAACAATGGTCCAAGTTCTGAGCCTTGGGGAACTCCACTTGTGACGTTGCTCCAATGGGACTTAGTGCCGTTAATGCTCACTCGCTGTTTCCTATCCTGTAACCACGCCCTAATCCATTTAAGGATGTTACCTTTGATGCCATGTGCTTTTACCTTTCTAATTAGTCTTTCGTGGGGGACTCTGTCGAAGGCTTTGCTAAAGTCGAGATATACCACATCATAATTGTGCCCCTCGTCCACCGATTCGAAAACTGATGAAAAGAATGTAAATAGATTAGTTAGACAAGAACGTCCGCTTGTGAAGCCATGCTGGGAATCATTGATCAATCGGTGCTTCTCCAGGTGATTTCGTATCGAGTTTGAAATGATTGCTTCCAGTAATTTGCCTACTATTGATGTTAGACTGATTGGGCGGTAGTTAGAGGATAGTGATCTATCCCCCTTCTTGAAAATCGGTATTACATTCGCTATCCTCCAGGATTCTGGTACTACAGAATGACAAGACTAATCCTGGGAATTAGGAACCTTGAGTATAGAGACAGGTTAAGGCATCTTAATTTGCACTCCCTCGAGAGATTTAGAGCGAGGGGCGACATGATAAAGGTGTATAAATGGAAGTCAGGGCTAAACAAAGGGGACATACAAAGGAACTCAAACTATCCAACCAGGAGCAAACTCGTAACACTGGTTTTAAATTAGATATAGGCGTTAAATAGGTAAACACTGGTTTGGAAACAGTAGTGGATGAATGGAACAAGTTACCAATTATCATCATTAACTCGAAGACTCTGGATAGCTTCAAACATAGGTTGGATGCTTATATGAGCAATAGGGGTTGGGTGTAAATGGGACTGCCCAGTATGGGCCAATAGGCCCGCTGCAGTTTTCTCCATTCTTATGTTCTTATATCAGCTCTATTACACCCAATGCAAGCTGTTAAGTTAAAATGCCAAGATACCCAGCTACTGTACAAAGCTACACTGAAATATATTTCTGTATAGTATATGCTAAAATTTAAGGACTTGCCTGGGTTATCCATTCACCTAAGGAAAACTCTTTAGAAAAGAAATCTCTGTAAAGATTATATTTATGCCATAATGGGAATTTGGTAATGAAAAAAAAAAGGATATTCTATGTTAGCGTGCTGATTTGATTGGATATGGCCTTGACTTCTGTGGGAAATGTATATTTAAAGAGATGCAACCATGAATCACAAAGTGGTCAGGGCTTTGAAAGTGAAGTCAAGTGTGGGATAAAAAAAAAATGAAAACCTGACTCAACCTTGTCTAACATAGGAAAGTCCTAATCCTATAAAAGGCTTACCTTAATAAACTTATAGTGGAAGAAACGGTTATTATTTTAAAAATTTTTTTGCGTATTTTCGGTGTTTAGCTCATGAGGGAGGCATCAACACTATTGAATATTTGTAGTTAAAATTTTTGCCCATTAATAAATTTCCCAAAAGATTTGAAGTGTCCTCTGATTGGTTCAGCAGGTCATGTAAAGTTCACGTGAAGGAGATTTTAATTTACAATATCTCGCATAAATTTGTTTAACGACCTGAAACTCCATCAATATTCTTGCATCGTCTTGTCCAGATCACGTCCAACCTTTATAAACACTAGGTTGTGTACAAAACCAGGTTCACCAATTCACTTTAACGTTGCCATCACATAAATAAGTTAAGATTGTTGGTATGAAAGGTTAGGTAAGGTTTTAAATTTTTCCCTCCACATTCTCCCACTCTTCAAAGTCCTTCCCACTTTGGAAGAAATCATTTTTGTTTCTAGTATGAAATAGGTCATACAGTATATCCTTTATATCCCACAGATACAGAGGTCATATTCATTCAAATCACCCATGAAAAAAAAAAGATAAATAACGACTGTAGTTTGGTTATTAAATTCCCATTATGGCATTAAAAATAATATTTAGGGTGGTTATTCTTTAGGTAAAAAAAAACTAGGGTGGAGAACTTAACGGTGATCCCTTACTTCTGTGTACACTTATAAGGGTAACACAGTTAGTTGATGTGATGGTTGTTGTGCTGTACTGGTTCTTTTCACTCACAATTTCGACAATATATGATGTGGTCTGGCTGAAAGCATGTAGAAGACCCCTTGCAACCACCGTTCATTACTGCCCTTGACATATTACCGTAATAAATGGAGAAACGTTATATTAGAGGAAAAGAATCAATATTGAAAGTCACGTCATAAGATATATTAATCTTAGATTTTGCATTGAAGGCAAGTGTTTATCCTGAAAAGGATAAATGTGAAAAAACAGTGGTTTTGTAATTTTGTTTAACATAAACAATTTCCATTCGGGGGAGGGTATTGTGGGGGTCTTTTGTAACAGCTGCGGTACCATATATATTAACATTTAATTAAATTTTATATTTTCCATAGATTTTGCTAATTGTATTTAAATTTTTTCCTCGTGTTTATTGAACATGCTCAGTGAAAATATAAATTATTGTGTGGACTTTACTATAATATAGGGTAATACCTGTACTGTATCGGGAGACCCAAATGTATACAGTACAAATACATTATTTTATTTCTTATAAACACCGTTGACCTACTTTAAGACATTTACAATCCCTGGGATCTGTATGAAACCAAACCCCCATGGATTGGGAGAATTGCTGTATTTATAAAACTAAACTTATGAGTATGTAATTCAATATTAAAAGTATTCTTCTTTACAGGTCTCTTCTGCGATCTGTGGTGTTCCACAAGTGACGGCTAGAAGGGCTGCTCTACAAGCAACCACCCTCTTCCTCCCATTTTTGCTGATTGGCTCTCCTGGTGTGGGTTGTCACCACATTGGGTAAGTTGGTCAGCTACTCACCACTATCCTTGAGAAGAATCTGTTTGTTTAATGCGGGTTGTCACCGCATTGAAGGAATAGAAAACTTCATCCCATACACCTGACCCAAGGGTCAGTTGATAAACCAGGTAAATTCTCCAACTGAATACTTCATTTCAAAGCACCGAGATGGTTGCTTCATATAAAACTGGGAATCCTGTGCGTTCATTTGTTCGTGTGCCAGGAAGTGGGACAGACAAGAAGGCAAAGTCTCTATGCTGGGACCTTTCACGCTCCTCAACAGTTGCTGCAGCTGTCCAAGTTGAACCAACACTTCCATCAGCAATCACAATAACAACATTGATAAAGTCATCAGAATCCACCAAGGAAGATGGCAAAACTGGTTATGAGGACGAAGTGACTGTTGCTCAGCCTGCCAGTCAAACTGAGGAATTAAGGCATAATCAATCGGAAGATGATTCAAGACCAGCAGATGTTGCCAAGGCAGCTGGCAATGAAATTCAAGGAGCTGTGGCACAGACGACAACCCCCACTGCAGTATCATCGCAGTCAGATGACAATTCAGATGTTAAGTCTGGAGGGAGAAATGATAGATCAGAGGTAAACACACGCAAAAGGCCATACACAGTGGAGCCTGAAGAAGGAGACCAAAATGAATCGAGTAGCAGTGAGCCTCGAGCAAAGTTTGCCTGTGTGTGTGGAAAAACAAGAGAAAGCAGTTCCGTGGACGATCCTACCACGGTTATGTCGCCAAAAATCCAAGAAACAAAGGTAAAAGAGTCTGTTTCAGCGGAGGTATCCAAGCTAGCACAAGAGCTTGAGCAAGTGAGACAACAAAATCAAGAGCTCCAGAAGCGATTGAAACTATTTCATGAGCTGTTCAACGACAAAAAGCGATTGGCTCTGGTGGTAAAACATTTGGGTGTATCAGTCAACTAAAAATGAATAAACATGTTGTTATTAAACATGTTATGCTACCTTTCTAATAGAAACTTAAGAGCAGGACACATGGTTTCACATTAATGATTTATGAATCTTCTAGTGACATTTGTAACAATGATTAAAATTAAATTTATGATTTTTTTTTTTTTACTTTTGGAGTTGTACAGTGTGTCTCAGGTTGTGCACCTTAGCTTTATTAGTTCCTTTTTATGCTTTTCCGTGTGAAGGAATGGTAGCATATCTATTGAGATATACAGCACTAACTCCTGAGTAAGAAATTGAGAGGTGTGAGGTCTGGGGACCTTGGTGGCCATTTGATTAATCCTTGTTGCTCAATTTTCATTAAATTGTTAAAATTTCCTCACCCAAATAAGAACATTAATTTTCTTATGGGATGTGGACAAATAGAAACCCAGTAGAAAAGGTTCCTTGTGGGTCACATTGGCTTCATCAGTCCACACCCTTGGATAATGAACTAAACTTGGGTACTGTGAGGAATTGTGCATTTTTTCTTGCCATGTCAGGGGACACTGAAGATGAGGCATTGTTTACACAGCATTAATTGGTGTAAAGTTGATTTTAGTAAAACCAGTACCGGTACTGTACAGTACTTGTGATGATCACCAATTACAGTATCATAAAAATCGTGAGTTAATAATAAAGACTCTGTATCTAATTATTGGTTAGTGTATTGAGATATACTCTACTGTAAGAAAAATACAAGTTGTTTTCCTTCAAGCACTATGGGTATTAAATTCATGTAACTATTAAGATACTGTACCAGGATGGTCGCCCGATGCAGCAATGTATAAAATGTTAAGCATTCTCAGTGATCCATGGAGAAGCCATTGTTAACCTATTTCCTTTCCTATTTTTGTTGAATAGCCTTGGTATTCTGTAGTCCTAAACAATAAACAAAGCCATACTGTATTGATGATATCCATTTAATGTTTTCCCAAGTAAAATCATAAACTTAGATTGAGAATTTTGCCCCCTTATACCGAATTATTATAATTTTATTCAAGTGTTTAGGTTTCTTCCTCCTTCTAGTCGTTCATATAAGTTTGAGTACAAAGAAAGACAAAAGTCGTGTCATGAAATTTGGTGAAAACATGTGCCAAAGGGCTAAACTTTTGGTTTGCTCTGCCTTGTGGTAGGGGGCTCTCATAATGTTTCACGAGTTATATTTAATCTTCGGATAAAACCGCGACACAACTTTTGTCTTTGATTGTACAGGTACACTTATATTTCCGACATTTATTATGGTATGAAGGCAAACTTCCATTTATTGTATCACTTCATTAACTAATAAGAGATTACTTGGTGATTAAATGGATCAGAATCCAAAAACAGAACATAGGAATATTATACATGGTGCCTCATAGGTTACTTGCCTTATGAAAATAACTGTTCCTCTTTTATTCAGGTGAGGCAATCATAAATCAACAATGATGCCATATTTATGTTGACACTAAAGGGAAGTCGCCTTGATATTCATGTATGGAATGTTAACGGACTCTTTCCTCTCGTTAATTTTTGTCGTCCTTGTTGATATAATGGGATCTTCTCCCCTGAAAAATTAATAAAAGGAAATGTGACCCGTGAGACTCCTTATATTGTACAGTACTGTAATATTTATATTTTTTTTTCGAAACATTTTGCTTGCTCAGCGTTCTTTTCTTTAAGGCATTGGTGCTACCCAAATACTTAGAATGAAAAAGATTTGATTATATTTTGACAAATTAAAAAGTTTTGAAAATGGGCTTCATGAAGTTGATGGAAACCTTTATGATAATAGGAAGTAACATAGGAATCAGTATCTTTACAGTTGGCTTTTTAGTTAGATAAAGATGTTAAAAGATAGGATGGCCTCAAGCTAAATATCCCAGTGCTTAAATGTTTGGCTGATTTTGTATTACATTACTTTCTTTTAGCAAGGAACTATTTTTTTGTGTCATATATGTCACCGATGATTCCATGTGGCGAGGAGTCGGTTATCCAGTGTGGCGAGGTGCCAGTGTTCTATAATGATTTGTCATTAAATCCATGTGGCTAGGTGCCAGTTATCCAGTGTGGCGAGGTGCCAGTTATCCAATGTGGCGAGGTGCCAGTTATCCAGTGTGGCGAGGTGCCAGCGTTCTATAATGATTTGTGTCATTAAATCCATGTGGCTAGGTGCCAGTTACCCAGTATGGCGAGGTGCCAGTTATCCAGTGTGGCGAGGTGCCAGCGTTCTATAATGATTTGTGTCATTAAATCCAAGGTGCCAGTGTTCTATATGATTTGTCATTAAATCCATGTGCCAGTTATCCAGTGTGGTGAGGTGCCAGTGTTCTATTATGATTTGTCATTAAATCCATGTGGCGAGTGCCAGTGTTCTATATTGATTTGTCATTAAATCCATGTGGCTAGGTGCCAGTTATCCAGTGTGGCGAGAAGTGTGCCAGGTGTGTTCCATTAAATCCATGGCGGGTGCCAGTTATCCAGTGTGGCGGTGCCAGTTATCCGAGTGCCAGTGTTCTATATGATTTGTGTCATTAAATCCATGTGTGCTTATCCAGTGTGGTGCCAGTTATCTGCCAGTTATCCAGTGTGGCGATTGTTCTATTATGATTTGTGTCATTAAATCCATGTGGCTAGGTGCCAGTTATCCAGTGTGGCGAGGTGCCAGTTATCCAGTGTGGCGAGGTGCCAGTTATCCATTGTGGCGAGGTGCCAGTGTTCTATTATGATTTGTGTCATTAAATCCATGTGGCGAGGTGCCAGTTATCCAGTGTGGCGAGGTGCCAGTTTTTTCTGTGAATGTTGTGGGTGCATCACCCAGGGCATTATTATACACTTGTTCATTACATCTATTCTGTATTAGGTTTTGTAATTTATTATGGAAAAGAATATACCACAAATATTTATGAACTGATAATACTATTAACTTATCATAACTGCAAAAATTTATATTGATATTTGGTTAAGACAGAAGTTTTATTTTGTTATGTTTTGTGGTGTATTTAATTTTTGCTTTGTTAGTTATTATAAGTTGAAGGAGTCTGCCTGTGGTCCAGTCAGTTCCCTCATCCATCGAATTTACCGTGGCCGAAGGACATTTGGCCGACGGACAGTTGATTTATTTTTTATTTTTCTTTCTTCTTTGCAATGTATTTTTTGCACATTTACTAAAGGATAAAAGATATTTATTGTAATGTAAATGCTTCTTTGCAATGTATTTGCTTTATAAAACAAAGGATAAAAAGATGACAATTTCAATGTGATACATTTGCATGATATAGTTTTTTTTTATGTTACTTTTAAGACCATGGAATTCATACCAACGACAAGAGGAGGAAGATGGCATTTGCTTGAAGGCTACGCCTACATCGTTGATAAACGGAAAGACAATGTAATATATTGGCGATGTGAATGCAAAGGAAGTTGTTGGGGACGATTGAAAACAGAAGACGACGTTATTCAAGGAGAAGCAAGTAATCACTCACGTCCTCCTGATGCTGGACGTAACCTGTCCTTGAAAACAGTAAAGAAAATTAAAGAAAGAGCCTGACAGTTGGGAGGAAGTGACATCGACTATTATACAAAACTGCACCAGTGAGTACCCACTTGATGCTGCAGGTGCTCTTCCTATGAAAGAAACTCTGGCAAGAATGGTGCACAGACAACGCATGGCACCAGACGGGGACTTATTAACTGACGACTTACGGAAATCAATTAGAGGAGAAGACTTTGTCATCCATTAAAGTGACAACCTGCTAATTCTGTCAACACCTCGAAACTTACAGCTTCTTGCTTTCAAAGACCACTGGTCAACAACTTCCTTTGCGTTCACATCGCCAATATATTACATTGTCTTTCCGTTTATCAACGATGTAGGCGTAGCCGTCAAGCAAAAGCCATCTTCCTCCTCTTGTCGTTGGTATGAATTCCATGGTCTTAAAAGTAACATAAAAAAAAACTATATCATGCAAATGTATCACATTGAAATTGTCATCTTTTTATCCTTTGTTTTATAAAGCAAATACATTGCAAAGAAGCATTTACATTACAATAAATATCTTTTATCCTTTAGTAAATGTGCAAAAAAAAAATTGCAAAGAAGAAAGAAAAATAAAAAATAAATAAAAAATGCCATATGTCCATTCAGCCAAATGTCCGTTCGGCCAGATGTCTGTTTGGTCAAATGTCCGTCGGTGAAATGTCCGTCGGCCATCTGTCCGGGAGCCAAATTTACACTTTATTCGTTAAACTGCAGTTGATATTGTTCTCAAGTCGTAGGTGGCACTGACGATGTTTGCCTTTTATCATAACTTGATCCTGGCACTTATTGAATGTTGTACAGGTAACCTGCACTTTGATACACAATACTTTAAAACCTGTTGTACTTTCAGGGCTTCTCTTATGTAATGTACATGACTTTGGTTGTGAACATCCTCAGTGTCATTGACTTAATTTGTAAGGAAAAAATTAGTACTTGACTAGCAAATGCCTTTTCTTCCAGCTGCTGCTTTCTTATCTAGAACAAGATGTTCACAGTAAAGCATGAGGGTAAAATTAGTTATAAAATTTAATAAAAAAAATGTTTACTGAAAATAGTATTTAAGCTTTTTCAGCAGTATTAAATATCTTGGTAGCTGCTGTTCTAAGGATATAATGATAATTGTAGTTGAATGAATGTAATTAATATATTGTATACTGTACACCTTTGTATGTTTTGTGCATTATATACTTACTCCTCCAGCTATTTATGTATGATACAAGTGCCAGTCATGTACATTTTGGTGAATATATCACTAAGTAAGTACAGCAGTTCTCTACTAGGTTGGAGTTTCCTTAAGCTGCGGTCACACGAGAGTTTCTCCCGGAATAAATCCACCATAGGGAAAATGTCAGAGTAATGAAAAATAATAAAACTGTAATAAGGGTAAATCACGACAGGAATTTCATTTGACTCTGGGAGTACAGTACAGGGTACTTGCATCACTTATGTATACAAATATTGCCTGGACGCTAGTCATTTTATATATATATGCAAGTAAATCACTGTGGGTGCACGTGATCCAGGTACATAATGATAACCACAAGGAAAGAAGAAAACACGAAGTTCCCAAGCGCTTTCGTGCAATTCACATCTTGTTTAGCAGGACCACACATCTCACTAAAGCGGTTAATGCTGCCATCCTGCTCTCCAACTGAGCTCAAACATGCTGCATGAGCTGGGCGCCTGGCTGATGGTTCCTTTTGCCAGTGTGCGGATCACACCATTAACTTATTGCCTGTGGATAAACTGCTATCATGGATATCTTGCACGGAACACTAGTGTGACCGTTAAGCTACAGTCATACTAGAGTTTTAAGAGTTTTCTGTGCAATAAATCCATAAGTTAATGGTGTGATCCGCACACTGGCCAAAGGAACCATCAGCCAGGCGCCCAGCTCAAGCAGCATGTTTGAGCCCAGTTGGAGAGCAGGATGGCAGCATTAACGCTTTAGTGAGATGTGTCGTCCTGTTAAACAAGACCAAAATTGAATAAATAAATAAAATTGTAGCGTCCAGGCGATGTTTATATTCAAAAGTGAAACAAGTACAGTACTGATGAGTTGAATGAAATTCACGTCATGATGTATTGTTCATTTACCATGACATTTTTGCTCGTGTTTTGTTATTGATCTAATACACTTTTTATATTTTTGTATGTTTTGGCGTTAAAAAGAAAAAAATAATGTGGTGTAAATTTAATAAATACAATATTCTCTACAACAAATGTCAACCCACAGTACTGACGCTCAGTATCGTCCCACTTTTGACAACAAATAAGTTGTCTCTGAAAAATCAACACTACGGTGGATTTATTCCGGGAGAAACTCGTGTGACCGCAGCTTTATTAGCACTTTATTTTATGATTTTTTAATTTTGCCTCTGCTAAATCAATACAAAACCAAGTATTGTACTGTAGTATCAGAAATAATTACCCTAAGTTTAAACTACTGTATAAGCCAAACTTATTTGTTGAAAACTGTTGAATGAGGTCAAGAAAGTTACATTGTATATATATAACTAGACTTTCGTTTGATCTCACAAAGTTGTGCACGTTTTGGTATTGGTAAAACACGATACCTTGAGACGTATTTATATAGACTATAGCACTTAAGATTTTCTGGTTTACAATGTTAATACTTAAGTATTGAGGTTATGGTTTACAATATTAATGCTTCCATAAAGGAATATATTATGTAAAGGATTGTTCTGTAGTTATTATTGCAAACTAATACAGGTCCCTCAGAGTACGGTAATGGAAACCTGTTGAGATGATGTCTGTAACAAGTACGGCAGACTGTACTGGACAAAAATTTTTCTGTAATCCCATTAAGACAAAAATATTAGAAACTAGAATTTGTGGAAAAAGTGCCACTACATTCATGTCAATATACTGTAGTATATTTGTTTTGTATATACATATACTGTATATTAAATAAAAATTTCACTAGTATATTTACAGTATATTTCCAGACATCCTACAGTACAGTGAAGACATTATGAAGAATTATTTTTGAAGGAGAAAGTCATTTACACGATTATTAAAATATAGGGTAATTTTTTATATTTACAGTACGAGGGAACTCTTGAACTGATTTCCTCTATGCTGTATTGTATTGAATAATTATGTAAAATTAGATTTGAATTACTCTGGCAAATGTACAGCAGTTGGTCATTAACTACTACACAATGGGCTAATACTAAATTTCATGCAACAAAGGAGAACTAATATTTCTCAAAAAAATATGAAGAAATAAAATCAGAAGTGTAAGAATATGATAATCTGTAGAAACTAAAGAAGTTCAAAGAAAACTTGAACTATCCAAATTAAAATGGGTCAATGAATGTTTGGATAGAAAAGATGAGGAAAGCTGATTGGAAGAAAACCTACAGACATGAGAAACTTTCAAGATCGATGATAATGGAAAAGAAGGCTAATCCCACTGACAGATTAATGCCTACCTGGCAGCTGAAGCAAGGAGTAAACTTATTTAATACAGATAATGCATAATTTAAAAAAAAAATTTATTCAGTCATTGGAACTATTGTGCTCGCTGTCCAATATCCTTGTTCAGCATCTCGCTGGTTTTCCCTTTTATGCACCATCCACCTCTAAATAATAGCACCAGTCCAAAATAATCATATAGCATTCTTTTCTCTGGATGTGTCCACCCAACCTGATCTTTGGTCTAATTCACACTTGTGTTACAGTATTTATACTAGACGCATAAACTTGCACCCCTCCAATGTTATCTTTCAATTACCATACAGTATTGTTTTAATAAGGTTGTACAAATTAATAATGTCATTTCTCCATTTTATTTTAATATTGCATACACTGGAAAAAACCTGGGGGTGAGATTGGGTTTTACTTTTAATATATGACTATAGGGGGATTTGAGGGAAAGGGGTCCACCTTTGGTGAATCTGCATGTACTGTATTACAATGACACTGAATGTACTGGGTTTTAAGGTAGATGGTCTGTTGAACAATATTACAATACAGTACAATCAATGGGAATGCTGAATTAAGATTTCTTTGGGCGTTAATTCACTGGTCAGTCTTTACATTAGCAGATCCCAATGTTTTTGCATCACCCATTCTTCAGGAAGTGAAAGTTGGGGTTGAAACTTTTACTGCCTCTGCAGAATGTCATGGGTAGTTTAGATTACCTGTAGCTCCTTGCTGGCCATACTTTCCTCCAATTTTTTTTTTTTTTTTTTTTTTTTTTTTTAGTTTGGGTAGAAAGTGTGTAGTTCCCAAGTAATCACACAATATAAATCTTTTTCGACTCGACTGACAGCAGGAAGATGTGTCTACCAAGTTACCAACAACCATACACCACAGAAAGTAATGAGAACTGCATATACAGCTACCCCACAGGAGGTTACCTTATCATACACTGACAGGTAAGAATAATGATCACATTTTACTTAATTTTACAAGTCAATAAGGTATTAGTATCGCCACAGGTTCACCACATAACACCAAGTGGAATGTTACCCTCAATATTGTTTTCAGTTTCATCATCAGCTTTTCTCCACTTCCAACTCAATACAGCGAAAATTTTAATAATTTTTCTTCCTGTCTTTTAAAAAACAGAAAAAAGACTTGAAAATGCTACAAACTGATTTACCTCTCTTTTTTTAATTATCCAAAGTTACCTGCTAGACAAGATGAATTCGATATTAGCTAGTGATGAAATCCGTTGAAATAAAATCGGACTTGATGTATAATACCTCATGAAAGGCTGAAAATTAAACTGGGCTGGTACATAAATTGATGGGCGTGTAGTCTTGATTTATTAGGCAAGTTATACAGTACATGTTTCTCGTCCGTTTTCTTACAATTGTTCGATTTTATACGATGCTTTTAGATGCATATAGACCGTGTAACTATATAAATAGATAGATACAATACTATTTTCATGAAACAAAATAATATTACAATGTATTATTACTATTGCGCTTCAACTTTCAACGTCTTTAATAATTTTGCTTTAGATTCTACGCTTGACATTAATAATTAAAAATCAATAGAAATATCTCCTTGTGGGTTCAGGAAAATTCTGACGTGAAGGAATTTGTTCTTGACTACTTTAAATTGTAATTAAAATGGAACACTATGACATTCTAGTTTGTTTGTTAAAATGAAATAACACGACTGAAACATTCTAGACTAAAACATCCATGGCTGAAACATTCTAAGATACAACATCCATGGCTGAAACATTCTAAGATAAAACATCCATGATTGAAACATTCTAAGATACAACATCCATGATTGAAACATTCTAAGATAAAACATCCATGATTGAAACATTCTAAGATACAACAACCATGGCTGAAACATTCTAAGATAAAACATCCATGATTGAAACATTCTAAGATAAAACATCCATGATTGAAACATTCTAAGATACAACATCCATGGCTGAAACATTCTAAGATAAAACATCCATGATTGAAACATTCTAAGATACAACATCCATGATTGAAACATTCTAAGATAAAACATCCATGATTGAAACATTCTAAGATACAACAACCATGGCTGAAACATTCTAAGATAAAACATCCATGATTGAAACATTCTAAGATAAAACATCCATGATTGAAACATTCTAAGATACAACATCCATGGCTGAAACATTCTAAGATAAAACATCCATGGGTGAAACATTCTAAACCAAAACGCCAACTGGTGAAACACACTACACTCGACAAGGGTATCACGTATCAGAGAGCAACCAGGCGGTGTAAGCTAGTCTGGCTGGTGGTATAATGCAGAGCCCCACACAGTCTACCACCACCACCACCACCTCCTTGACACAACCCGCACTCGCATTATCACGGTGTTTAGTCACTGCCTACACATTCACACTTCATTCTTATTGCCTGGCAGGTTATAATTGTTGTGACCTTTTATCCTGTGAAACAAGGCTCAAAGACTGCTTCGTGTGGATAACATTTAATTTTAATTGCTTTTAAGGGCTAATTTCTCAAGCGGGCCAGTGCAAGTCTCGCGAGTAGGATGTAGACTTGTCTGATCTCATCTAATTTACCTAATGGGCACCCCAACTAGAGGTGCCCACGCTGAGGGAAGGAGGCCAGTGATCTGTGTAGGATCCCTCCATTGTTCATGATAGTCTTGTCCAGGGCTATTTTAAGGCCCTGTACTGTTCTCGATTCCACAGCTTGAACTGGTAGACTGTTCCACAGGTGTACCACCTTCTGTGTGAAGAAATATTTCCTTATAGTCGCCATAAATAGTACCTTGGCGTGTTTTAAAAATTGCGTCCTCTCCTTGCCCACACACTATCAAGTATGTTTGTCAAACATAGTGTTTGATCATACAATTTGAGAGTGTGTGGGCAAGTTTGAAGGTAAGACCAACAAGTTTGAAGATTAAACAAGTTTGATATTTTCTCGTCCAACATGACGTTTGTCAAACATGTTGATAGTGTGTGGCATTGTATGATCAAACATGCTCAGTCGAGGAGCAGTATCCATGGCGAGCTCACGGGACTCCCCTGAGTTTTAGCGAGTTTATTGAACTTTATAAGCAGCTTCCATTGTGGCAAATAAAGTGAAGATTACAAGAACAGATCTCGTAAATAAGAATGTTATGGGAAATTATTGGAAAATATGAAAGAAATAATTTCTACTGCGACCAAGGCCACAGTGTACTAGAGTCTTTGATTTGCTGGTATGGCATCTCTCAAGATAGTGTCCTCTTTTTTTATGCATGTTGTCACTTTCTCCAACAGTTCAACGAAAGTTTCATTATCCATTCTCAAAAAGTTCCCCCATCCCCAAGGTCACCACCCCACAGTCCCCTTACGACCTCAGGACAGTTGCCATTACCTCCATACCCAGTCTACTCTGTGAGGACTTTGTTTTTGAGTGGGCATTTGCCAGAATCCATCAGTCAATTGATCCACAGCAATTTGGCAATATGAGGACCTCCTCTACATCACACTGTTTAGTGAGCTTTCTGGATTTTCTGCAGAGAAACCTGCAGAAACGTAAGACATCACTGGCCGTTGCCCTTGTTGACTTCAGGAAGGCCTTTGACCTTGTTGATCACTGCACTGTTATCAACAAGGCCAATGCAGTAGGGCTGCCCACCAACCTGGTCTCATGGCTCACTGATTTCTTGAGTGGACGTTGCCAGGTATTGAGGTATCAGGGCTCTCCCAGGGGACCAAGATGGGACCACTGTGCTTCCTCATCCTGATCAACGACGCTCTATCGGACACTCCTCACAGGTGGAAGTACGTGGATGACTGCACTGTGGGGGTTTCAGTGGACAACACCGCACCAGACTACTCATCGTTACAAGGCATCCTGGGCAGGCTACAGGCATGGACTACGGAGAACAAGGTCACCATCAACCACACCAAAACCGTAGTCATGCACATCAATACCGCAACCACTCCAGTGCAAGCCCCAGCAGCCTGTGCCCATCTTCTCCAGCTGGTGCAGTCTGCCAAACTCCTGGGTGTAACTATAGACAAAAAACTTGACTGGAAGGCCCATGTAAATAACACAGTCAAGGCAGCCTCGTACCGTCTCTACATGCTACGAAGACTTAGGTCACTTGGGACACCCACGCCAGAGCTGAGGACTATCTACAACGCCTTTATTCTCCCCAAACTAACGTATGCGTCACCAGCCTGGTCGTCTTCTCTCAACTCCACCCACCTCGCGCAGTCCGCCACTACAACAAAATTCAGCCCACAAGAGCCCGCACCGATAGATATAAGAATAGCACCATCCCACCTATTGCTAAAATAATAGACAACTCCTGATTTATGTACTGTACAGCCCTGTAAATGTATTCAACGCATATTATATCATTATGTCTAAATCAAATGTAAGTCTGTATATTTTCAGCCACCGGCTGTAACTCTATTACTAAACCGTTTATTATTATTATTGTTATTATTATTATTATTAGATGATACCACTAGTTCCTTTAATAGGGCGCCATTCTGTGCCATTCCTTCATCCATATTTTTTTTTTCGTTTTTTCTTTGAAGTCTCTGTTTCAAGAGCAAATATAATAGCAATACAGGCTGCCTCCTTACTCATGCTGTCACCCAGTGCGGAGGGGGCGCAGCAGACATCTTATGAACGGCACCAGACACCAACTGAAGTTTGATCATTCTAGTTGTAAAGTGTGTGGCGACGTATGATACATGATTAAACCGCATGTTTGACAAACATATTTAATAGTGTGTGGGCACCAACCAATGTTAACTAGTTTTCGACACACTATGACTAAAATATACTGTATATGATGTCCCTATGTGTGTCAAAGGATAAATAACGAAGAAAAAAAAAGATCTCATTAACTGTTGTTTTTATCAGGACAATTTTATTTCTAATGTATTCGACATTTGTATTACAACCAACTCAAAGGAAGGGCTGGAGGTGCAGGCGGCCGTGTGTGGTAACTCCAACTCCCCGAGACCCCAACGCTCCTCTTACCTTCCTCAGGGCTCACAGTCACAGACACACTGCTCATGCTCAGTAACCTCTCAACTGTGTAAGGTAGTGCACGTGCCGCGATCCTCTCCGTTCGTGTCTTGTTACACCCGGGAAAATGTCTTTCAAGGGAGTTTTATTGTAATATAAGAAACCCGATTCTAGAATATAAGGAGGAATTCACGAAAAAACAAGGTAAAGTAGATATTATTAACTGTAAACATTGGAGATAGCTTATTGCAGTAGGTTGTAGGGTCACTTTTTCAACAACAACACACCCACGGGTGAGTTGATTTAGTTTTCACTGTGCTTCTACGTTTTTCGTCAGTAACTACAGATCTACAATAATCGGGAGAGTATTATTAGCAGAACAAATCATGTTTGGCAGGGCGTAATTGACATAAACTAAGTTAAGAAGGACATTGACGCGAGTGTTGAACGTGTGGACAGGTTGGAGTTCAGTACGACGAGACACTCAACATTTCAACTGTGCAGTAAAATTTGTTTCAGTTGCTATAATGTATTACTGAGATTTAACAACTGAAATCTTTAAGCGCGGGATTGAAGTTAATACATTTACTAGTAGTCAACAATAAATGATAAACCTCGGGCCATTACTTAAATCCCAATGGTTCATTTTCAACTCTTACTGTGCTGTCACTTTACTGTGTTGAGTAAAACACTGCTGTGTATTAAGAACGAACCTGAGTAAATCTGGATCCGGTGTCATGCGACAAATTTTCCGGTGCGACAAACCTTCCGGGTTCAGCAATTACTGATGTTCATTATCGACATCTAAGATGTATGATTGATTTGTGAGAGCTGAAAATATTAATAAATACGGTAACGAAAGGTTTTGAATGAATTTCCCATTATATCTTGGGCAAACTGAGTACAGTATAAGGATATGAAACATACTCACTACCAAAGACAATGAAAGCACAAAGTGGGCAATGCTTTGAAGTCGATGGAAATTGTGGGGTAAGAACACAAAAAATTAACCAATCAAACCCAAGGAATCCTGACCTAACCTGCCCTAACCTAACATTACAAAATCTTACCCTACTTAACCGATGGTGGGAGGAGGCCGGTCCGACTAATTACCCAAATGTAGCAAAATGTAGCCGCAATGAAGTCAAATAATGGTCCTACATGAATAAATCGGACTGTGAATCACTTCTCGATTATTATTTGGTGTCAAAGTCACAAAAAATTGGTAAACTTAATTTAATCTGAGTTGTGTTAGGTTAGGTTAGGTACATGCACTTGATCTATTAACTCAGATTAAATTAAGTTTACCAATTTTTTGTGACTTTGACACCAAATAATAATCGAGAAGTGATTCACAGTCCGATTTATTCATGAAGGACCATTATTTGACTTCATTATATATATTTATATATATATATATATATATATATATATATATATATATATATATATATATATATATATATATATATATATATATATAAAGTAAGTAAATACTACGACAGCATGATGCCCAATGAACAGATACAGCACAATACTCGGCTTTTAAGTGAACTGTAGAAGCAGTTACCAGCACAAAAAACTCACCTATTTTATAGTCGGCGTCACACTAGCAGTTTTTGCGTTAACTCCATATTTTCTGTCGTTTTTCAGTTTTTATCTTTCCTCGGGAGTATCACTCACACGAAGATTAATGTCCCCTTCCCGCCTGAATGCTCCCGCCATCCACTGTGGTCAAATCTAGATCCATGCTCGATAATGAAGATCGTAATATAAAATAAAATATCAAGGTACTTAAAACTAAATGTAATTGTAAAATACTTAATATCACATTTTTAATAAATAACTTAAGTGTACATTTTTAATTTATGTTATTCCTAAATACATCTGATGTTTATTTACATTAGGAGCGCACGTAGAATGACGTGCGCTAGTTCTATACGTGTGCGCGCATAAAAATTACAATCCTTAGGATAAATAATTAATGCAAGAAGATGACGCTAAGTGCTAGTGTGACGCTACCTTATTGTGTAACCTGGCTACCTGGGAGGGTCTCTAAGTACTATTAACGGTTAACCTAGCAAAGGATTTTCAGTTAAAACACTAGTACATAATGATAATAATTATAAGACTCGTATCAGCAGTGTGATTTGTAGAAAAACAGTATTACAATGGTTGGTATAAGGATCTAACAGGCTACAGTTTAAGTGATTCATGGTAGATTGTACAAGCTACAGAGCAAAGGAGGAATGCTACTCTTGCCCAGGTGAGATGACGGGGCTGGCAGGTAGAAATGCTCTCTGAGTGGCCAGTAAACAAGGTTCTCACCTGGCCTCGTGGCGTAGTTCTGTAATAACAAAGAAACTTAGAAATGTAACACCCACAAATGTTCCCGAGGAGCCGTATTTTAGTTAGGGAATTATCTGAGGCTGGAACATTTCCGGGCCTTTGTATTTAGTATTGTAATACACTAAGACGTATCCCGCCCTACCCGGCTCTGTTTCTTCTCGATTACTCCTCCCGAGCAATTTTTTTGTTTGGACACAGTTGTCTTATTTCTTTTTACAAATAATGCCACGAACAGTTGCCCAGCCGATGGCTAGTATAGTGAAGAATATTTTAAAGAAGGTTGGTGGACGAGAGGTCTGTGAAGATGAAGGTGTCAATTAAATAGCAGGATGATAAGTTATCTCCGCTTCTGAGAGATAAACGGGAGCCCTTGAGGTGGGAGGTGGCGCTGGCTAGTACACGTTAACACTGTCTCACACTCGACTGTGCGACGAAAAAATTATTTCACTACACTTAACTACTATTATCTAGCCTAACCAAATGGCTCAACCTAACCAAATTTAACCTAACTTAACCTAACCCCCCCTCCAATCTAACTTCCCCAAGAAGCATGTGAATTAATTTTGTTTTGATGGTAAGATTCTGTCCACGTGCCCTCAGAGCCCTTACTCAAAAGGTAAATATCAGTTATTAGTTAAAAAGTCTATGGTAGGTATTATCATAACCTTGCCACTCATCAGAAACAGGGGGTGACGTTGGTGAACATGGACGAGGATTCAAAATGTGCTTTTAAAATGTTGGTTTGTGACGTTACCACATAAACAAAGCAGAAAAGAAGACTGGAGAGAGAGGGGGTGGTTTTTTTCGTGTGGGAAGAAAACAAGGAGTTAATATAATAGTAACGGGATTACAAGGGGTTAAGGGGGAGAATGATGTTGGGGGCAGTGCGGACTGAGAGACGGAGGCACAAGCGGGTGGCAGGTAATTTTTGTACTTTCTTTTTATCGAGAGTTTTCCGTACCTCTCCTTTTGTAGGTAAGGCCATTAACCAAAAAATAAAGTGGCACGAGGAGTGTACAACATTTACCCGTAGTGGTTGTTGGAAAACCTTATAATATGGAGGGAAGGGGAGGATAAGCATAAACAAGAGATGGAGGCTGCCGGCGGAGGGTATCCGCCAGAAAAGTATGATCTTTAGAACTTAGACGGTGTTTTCTGGCTATTTCATAATTGAACCCGCCACTGGAGGGGACATAAGAAATGAAGAAAACGGGGCGGGAATTGGAAGCGCCACGCAGTGAGGAGAGAGGAGTGGTGGAGCTGGACTCTCCGCCAGGCACTCCCAGTGACCAGATGATCCTCAGCACACCTGGAGTATCACAGTAAGGGGCTCTGTATCCCAATCCTCCTATTAGATTAGAATATTATGGAGCAAGTCATCACTGATATAAGTCACTAAATAAACAGATGAAGTAACACATAGTGTGTGTATGGTGTAGCAGGTGTGGGGGTGAGGAACTGACCCGCGTGGTCAGGGGGTGTTAGTGGAGAAAGGGAACTTGTTCCCTGGAGAGACGCAAACTCAGGAAGACGGTCCTTTGGTGGAGTCATGGACAGGTGTTTGATGGTAATTATGTGCATAATGTGATAATTATTTACTGTGTTTATTGGCGTTTTCTTAAATAATTGCCCCAAATCAAATTTCGCTGGCATCAGAAATGTAGCCATGAAATAACAGGTGTGTTGAGGCGCCCATCTTGCTGTAGGTGTTAGAGAAGTTCCATATTAAGGTATAGTAGCCTTACGCTCAGAGGCTGTGATAACTTTACACTTTTCACTTAAACAGTCCTGTGAACCTCATGTCTCAGTATAGTCCACGCTGCTATGACATCACAGCTTCATCATCTATAGCTTATAGCCGAGGAAGCTTCTGAGGTAATCCACCAAGGTGGCCATGGATCACGGCTGACACCTGACTCACGCCACCACTACGTGACCACCGCACTGCTGCTGACGGTGCCATTAGTACCAACACACAACACTATGTTTCCACCGCGGGCTCTGGACTGGTTCCCTGCTGTTATATACACGAGAAAAGACGTGAAAAATTGGTCTCGTTAGGGGGGGGGGGCGGCAGTATGGATACAGCACTGTAGTCTAAGTCTTCTGTGGGCTATAAAGGAGGAACTGTTACCGAAACTACACTCGAAGGCGAGCTGTGGATCCACAGGTAAAATAGAATGAGTTTTGATTCAACCCCAAATTTATTAGTTCACATTTTTTATGCGTCATAATGATAGATAATACTCCAACTTGTTTCTCATTGGTTAGTTACTCAACCGATCAGACACCTTCCTTCCGCTAGTGGACACCTGCTACCTGTAGTCTAGAGGTTTTATTGCAACTATATCTTGCGCTAGTCAGGCCGCACCTCGATTATGCGGTTCAGTTCTGGTGCCCTTATTATAGAATGGATATAAATTCACTAGAGTCGGTGCAGCGAAGAATGACAAAAATGATTCCGGGGCTTAGAAACCTTCCATATCAGGATAGGTTAAAGAAACTTAACTTGCATTCCCTAGAAAGACGAAGAGTGCGGGGAGATATGATAGAAGTATTTAAGTGGGTGAAAGGAATCAATAAAGGGATATAGATAAAGTTCTTATAATATCCGAGCAGGATAGGACTCGGAACAACGGATTCAAGTTGGATAAGTTTAGGTTTAGGAAGGAGATAGGAAGAAACTGGTTCACAAATAGGGTGGTGGACGAGTGGAACAAGCTTAGCAACTTTGTAGTAAGTGCTGGAACTCTGGAAAGTTTCAAAAGGAGGCTGGATAGATTCATGGATGATAGAGTGGTAGTAACTCTCGACAGGAGCTGCCATGCACAGGCCAACCGGCCTATTGCAGACTCCTTATTTTCTTATGTTCTTATGTGTAGGGCAGCTCTAGGCAGACCTAACCTAACAGGTTCTGACACTACCTGTTGACAGACATATTCATCATTATACACTTCACACCAACACTGGGTAGTCTTAGCTGAGAGAGTGTGTGTGTGTGTGTGTGTGGTGGTTGAGTCGCCACAAAGTCTCAGCCTCCACCCACACACACCCAACATTCAGTCAGCGTGTTAAGATGATAATGAACATGCGATTTCTAAGTTCAATCATACATAACTCTCCTTCAATCTCTTACTATCAGTGAAGATTAATGAAAGGGGGTGACAGGTGAAACTGTCGAGAGAGAGAGAGACTTCAGGTACTGCGCTGCTGAAATACCTCTGAATGCATGCTTGGTAACCTCAGTAGGTCAGTAGAACAGTAGATAGGCAGCAGGGTAAGTGCACAGGTAAACATGGGGAGGAGGAGGTAGGTCGTCAGGTGTTGCTACTGTAATTATCATCAACATGTGTCAGGAGGGTACCCTAAATATACTGCACAACTAAACACATGTAAAATATAGTTATGGCGTGTGTTTGAGTGGTGGTGATGGTGTGGAGGGTAGTGGGTGGTGATGGTGTGGAGGGTAGTGGGTGGTGATGGTGTGGAGGGTAGTGGGTGGTGATGGTGTGGAGGGTAGTGGGTGGTGATGGTGTGGTGAGGTGTGGGTGATGGTGTGGAGGGTGGTGGGTGGTGATGGTGTGGAGTGGTAGGTGGTGGGTGAGGGTGGTGTGGAGGGTAGTGGTGGTGATGGTGTGGAGGGTAGTGGGTGTGTGATGGTGTGGAGGGTGGTGGGTGGTGATGGTGTGGAGGGTAGTGGGTGGTGATGGTGTGGAGGGTAGTGTGGAGGTGGTGGGTGTGTGGTGTGGAGGTGGTGGGTGGTGATGGTGTGGAGGTGGTGGGTGGTGATGGTGTGTGTGAGGGTAGTGGTGGTGGTGTGGAGGTGGTGGGTGGTGATGGTGTGGAGGGTAGTGGGTGGTGATGGTGTGGAGGGTAGTGGGTGGTGATGGTGTAGGTCAATGGTGATGGTGGTTAGATGGTTGGTTGGTGGTTTGTCTTAGGTTGACTTAACGCCTCGAGGACAAACCACAAACCGGGAAGTTGGAGTTTATTACCTTCAACAGAAATTCTTGGATGACGAGAGAAAAAATAAGAAGAAATAGTTACACAAAAAGCTGGAATGTGGCTAACAAGTCTTAACAGTATCTTGACTTGTAGGAAAAATATATCCCAAACGGCGAATATAACTCCACTAGCTGAGGGTATGAAAACAACTAATTCTACCTAGCGTTACTTAATGCCAGGTTAGTGTTAGTTAAGTTTGGCTCTCACTTATTGTTACCTTTCTCTCCACAACAGAATTTATAGGAACACTAGGAAACATTAATTAGTTGAGAGTGTTGGACAGTTCCGCACCTCTATTGTCCAGTGTAAGGAGAGGTAGACTTGTCGCTCACGGGACCACCTCAACAGTGTAGCTGGGTGTATTTGTCTGGTTGTACCCCCGTTAAATGTGACAATCTCCGTGACGTCAATGCCAAAGGTGTAGCCAACATACATAACACCAAGTTGACTCGATACACAGCCCTGACAACCCGTCATGATAATGTAGGATACAGTACACGGAAAATTACTCTAAGCCTTCGGTACACAAGGAGGCAGTGTGGTTGGTACTGCACTCAGCCGGCTTCACTCTCATCAGCTGTCCATTAACACCCAAGGTGGATCGTGGTGCTCCGGGAGTGAACCGCAACCATTAGGACAGGAGACAACCACACCTGTCTGCTACAACACTCCAGTTATCAGGGACGTGTGTGTGTGTGTGTGTTCTCTATGTACAGTACTTTAATCTCTGTCGTGTTGATGAGTTGCTCAAGAGTACGAGAAGTATTCACGAATTCGTGGCTTCATTTTTGTTACAGTATATTGTGGCTATATACATCTCCCTATCTTAGCTGGTATACTGGTTATAGGCATATCCAGAAGCCATCATGCTTATTATATAATCAACGCGTGAATGAAAGGTTATTACAGTTTGCCCCCGACACCTTTGATCAACAGCAGAAAAACAACAACTTTTAAGTGTACAAGTTTTGTCTTCATTATATTCAATTATTGAGGGGCCTTTCATAAGCTGACGTGACCCCCCCCGTAATCTCACATACAACACAGGCAGGATATATTGTATAATATGCAAGCTTAAGTGGTCACCAGCTTGATCCGGATTGATCACGTCATCAGGAGAGCTTAACCAGATACCCAGTCGGGGGTGAGGGTGGTTGGGGAGGGAGGGGGTGAAGAGCTCTTGGAATCGACTCCATGTAGCCCTCCACTTCCCCACCTCCTTTAGGGGCCCTCTAGCCTCTTCACCACACGGGGTGACCTGACGCATTACTAACAACATTACTGCGTCACACTTCCTGGCATGCTCCTGATACTTCCCAGGAATATAAAGGAGGTAGAGGGCGCCGCTGTACACGAGAGCTACTGGTAACTAACCCAGAGCATCTCAGTTCGGAAGTTGTCTCTCTCTCGTTCGTTCTACTCGTGTCCATTGGTTCGCCATTACTCTTTATATACGAACGTAAATATATTCCCCCTGCTCTTCTGTTATAGTGTTACTCTGGTGTTAGTGGTTGATAATTAATTTAGCAGCATCGTCAAGGTCGTCGCTTCACTTAATCACTTGGTTAGGATCATTTAATTTTTTTAGATCAGTTTATTTACCTTAATACTAACCTTATAACCCCCCCCCTCTCCCAAGGTAATGTTAGGGTGTGTAATCTGCAGGTGGGTTTTTCACAGGTATATTATGAGAGTATAAACCAGTTTCCTTTTATTTATTTTACACATTTAAATTCGTAGAGACAAAGGACTGAGACGTGTGGTGTTTGTTAACTGGTGTGTGTCTTCTTCTCAGCTCTACCATCTAACCTCCTCCCCCCTCTCTGTCTCCTAACCCCCTTCTTACCCCCATGTGTCTCCTAACCCCCCCCCACCCTCTTCATCGCCTTGTTAAGTAACCTCACTCACTCACGCCCGGAACCTTATCGGGGAAGGAAGGAAGGAAGGTGAAGCGTGGACCCTCCCCTGTAATAATACTTCTATCATTACCGCCATAAAGAGTAAATAAAGAAGAAACTATTACAGGTACTCTACACGTCTTTGTCTTTACATCTGGTGAGAGGAGTTTGTCCATAATAAACAAACAAACTGTTATTACCTACACAAGATCAACAATGGGACAAGTTCGATTGAAATCATTGAATGGCCTTGTGACTAGATGTTAATTTCGTCAGTAATGGATAAAATTTTCACACTAAATAAACTAAGAGCCTACTACCCACCTCCCCAGCCCCCGCTACTGACCGCCCACTACCAATATTTGGGCTTCTTGTGTGCATTAGTGAACAAGTGGGGTAATGATGTTTGGTGGTGGTTT